AGTAAATACCACCTTGACTGACCCCGCCCTATCTATTCTCTGCCTCCCGAGTTCCAGCTGATAGGGAGGGAATGGGATTTTGCAGTAACATTCCTCTGGAGTGGAATGGAAATGGAGATTTCACAGTATCCTTCCCCTGCCACGTCCACCAAGCCACGCCCAAAGAAGCAGCAGTAAAAAAAAAATTGAATCCCACCACTGGTGGGAAGGTTTGCTATAGCATGGATAGTGTACTTCAGATTTAAATTACACTTCCAAGAACACCAACCAACATGGATAGTTGTCACAGTTTACATGAATTACAGTCCAAAATATCTGTAAACCACCAGGCTACCTACTGGTGCCTCATAGCATAGATTTTACAGTAATCAAAAACTCTACCATATTTTGGCTTGAAATTGTTGGCAGTATTATGTGATGAGTAAAATGACATATATGTCATATCATATCGTACCATGTAATGGTACATTAGAAACATAGTTTACAGATTGCATTATTTATTTTAAAAGAGTGCTAAGATGATGGTCTGCTGAGCTAGCTGAAAAGAAAGAAATTGTGTGGTTTAGATAAACAATATCCATTTCTGAGGTCCGGTTTAGCATCACTTACCAAGGTCAGTGTGATTTAACTCAAAATAGATTTGTAATGAATATTCTTCCTATATTTACTATCACTAAGTGTTTCAGGACAAAAAAAAAGGGAAAGTCTCCTTGAGATACATCGTACACCTAGGGCAGAAAAGAGGATTTCTGTGCTACACATTTCCACCAAATGTAAATATTCCAGTGAGGGTGTGTCATTGGTAAGCAATTCTTGTGGATGGAGTTAATGCTGTATCCTGCTTTTGTACTGGAAAAGTAATGACAGAATACTACGAAAGGTCACTGAAGAAAGTTGAAGGTTTAATTGAAAAATAGAGAATGGATTCACAGATCTAAGGTGGGAAAAGTGGTGATAAGGTCATGTGAAAACATCTATACAGGTAGTCCCCGACTTATAACCACAACTGAGGCCAACATTTCTGTTGTTAAGTGAAACATTTGTGAAGTGAGTTTTTCCACATTTAAAACTTTTCTTGACACAGTTGTTAAGTGAATCACTGTAGTTGATAAGCTAGTAACTCTGGTCTTAAGTGAATATGGGCTTTCCCATTGACTTTGCTTGTCAGAAAGGTTGCAAAAGGTGATCACATGACCTTGGGATACAGCAACCGTTATAAGTATGAATCAGTTGCCAAGTATCTGAATTTTGATCGCATGATCATGGGGCTGCTACAAAGGTCGTAAGTGTGGGAAATGGTCATAAATCACTTCAGCGCAGTTGTGATATTGAACATCATAAGTGAACTGTTGTAGAGGAAAAATAATCTAAACTTATTTAGGAATATGGACATAGATTTTAGAGAAATTATAAAATAGGAACAAATAATTTTTAAAGGATTGAAAAATCTTTATGTGACATGGAAAAGAAGGGGAAATGTGTGGGAGCAGAAGAGGATACAAATACTTGGAAACATCAAACTGAATGAGGGGCCTGTACATATTCTGGCAATGCTCTGTGTGGGTGTAAAGTTTTGTACTTAGCAGTGTTGAAACTTCTGCTAATTTTTCTGTTGTCATAGAAACTAGAGCACCCAGTTTCAAAGGTTTAATTTATTTTACTGTTTAAGGGAAATTGTAAACATGGAGAATTTTTTAAAAATCAAAGTGAAAGACTTAGTTATTTTCCATTTTTTGTCCCATATAATTCACCTAATTAATCCTCCAGGTGCCTTCGGAGGGCAAGAGTTAAAAGGAAACCAAAACTGGCTGGTGTCTCTACAAAATTGTTCCAGGTGGACCAAAGGCATTTTTCAAAGTTATCACCAGAATCTTCCTAAATAAGTTTCCAGTTTGTTCACAAAAAATGAAACCAAAATGGTTATTGAATATGGCAACATTTTTCAATTGTTCCCTATCAGATGTACTGTGACTGAAATTATGAACCAACATTGCCAAAGCAAGAAACTGAAAAGAAATTTAGTCTAGTTTGTAGTAAACATGTTCAGACTATTTATGTTTTAAACACATTAAAATTTTGCACCGGAAATATGATAAAAAATACTGTATCTTTCTTTTTTTTTTTATTGGAATATGATATTAGTCATAATTGCCAGATTCAATGAAGTACAATAGAGAAGACTGCTGGGAGAATCTAACTCTCTGTTCTCGCGTCTTCTCTGAGGATTGGAAGACTGCTGGCATTGGCTACTACTAGTAAACCTGAGAAAGGAAGGAAGAAATATAAAAATCAGGCAAGAAGACCTTCACATCAGAAAATACCACTATACCCCCATTGAATAGACATTTCCATTTATTTTCAAACAAACAAAAGTTGAAAATACTTTAAAATTTTAATATTCAATGCAGAAAACTGAGAGACAAGGAGCAAGTTTTGTGTCAGCTATTAATACCGGAAGCTTCCACGCTGCCTTGTGCTTGGGAAAATAGGAGGGGGGAATTTAGTAGAGGGAATGTAGTTAAACATAATAGCATTCTTCTTTTCGGTCAAGGTCATGGTATTCCTGCACCTGGAGGAGTGTTTGGAGTGATGTCTCAGAGTTGAGAAGGATTGAGATTGGATGAGGTGATGGACTGATGGGTGCAGGGGATGGGTTTGGACCTTTGACTTACTGAGGGGAAGCCCGGAAATCTCAGGTTAGGGGTTTTCCTAGGTGTGCCTATATACCTACTCTAATAAATGGGAGCTTTGAGAAAATGCCTGTCGTAGCTACTTGATTAAGGTATTGTTTACTTCTTGGTAAGGTCTAGTGCTAAGTTACAATGGCACTGAAAAAAGTGACATGATCATTTTTCACACAATCATTGCAGCATCTTGGTGGTCATGCAATTAAAATTCAGATGCTTGGTAACTGACATGTATTTATGACAGCTGCAGTAACCCAGAATCTTGTAATCTTCTGATAAGCAAAACCAATGTTATTAACTTAACAATTGCAGTGATTCACTAAACAATTGGCAAGAAAATGTGGCAAAACTCACTTAACAAGACTGGGGCTCAGTTGTGGTTGCAGGCGAGTCTGGAACACACATGATACTAAGCCATAATTATCATTTATAAACCCCAATCAGGCAGTTCATACAAAATACATGATCATTTTGCATAATATAGCTTTTGTATTTATTTTCAACATCTGATATTACGATGTTGATAGATACATATTTGAAGCAAGCAAAGATGTCTGAAAAATCTCATCAGTCAGCTGATTATGTTTGTCTTTTTCAAATAAACTCAGTACATTGGGTTTAAGGGTCTATATACACACTTGATTGGTAGGGAACCAGAGTTGATCATTCATAGATAACAGCAATTTCTTGATAACATTTTATTACAAAGTCCAAAATGGTTCACAGTATTGGCTAGGTACCTTTAAGTATGTAAGAATTGCATTTTGTTGGAATCAATGGAATGCACATACATTTGTTTAGAATTTTGTGGTAAGCACTTTCTTCTGCAGATTTGGCATATTTTTTAAGATGCTTACTATTTGTGAAAAAGGTTCAACTGTCCTGGTGTGTTTGTTATTCAGAGAAAGTGGGGAGTCTATAGCATGGGCATGTCTGTTGTGGGCTTGAGATCATTCTAAACAGATCTTGCTTTTATGGGCTATAGACCATGATGTATTCTCAGCTGTAGCTTTGATTTGCAGTGACTCAACTAGGGCAGTGTTTGGACAGCAGAAATCCTGCTGATGAGATGAGTAAACTTCCACCCAAAACTCTAGGTGGTCTTACCATCTCCTCGCATACCATATGTAGGAGGATGCTGATTCCTTAAAATATGTGATGGAGAAAATGCTTATAGGGATAGTACTGATGGGGTCAAGAACCCTTTTCAGAGTAATGGAATAACATTTAAAGCCCTTTTAGTAATCACTTTTTAAAACACCATTCTGTTATTTACGACTGCAATTTCTGCTTCATTGACAGGTCAGGGAAAAACTTTTATTAGATATTAGGAAAAATTCTTAGGGGACCAATTACTTCTTGGGGGACCAAAACTATGAAGAAGAGAATCTTTTTTTTTTTAAGGCTAGTTCTCTTCTATCTTTTAAATCAGAAAGCTGGTTTCTGTTCAAGGAAGTTGATCTTGTGGGATTAGTATCAGCTTTATCTTAGAAAAACGAAATAGTATATCCTTTTGAAATCTCCCTAGCTGACATTCCCAACTGGATTCCCTTCCTATATATGAGAACCAAACTGGGGGGGGGGGGGATAGCTTGTCTGCTTAAGAATTACATCGGTAGAGAAACAAAGAATATAGTAATGCTGGGGGGGGGGGGAACCAAAACCTTGAAACCTGATTTTTTTTTCTAAAACTTATGGATAGTCAATTAAAAAAGACTGGTGGATGATTGATTTCATATATGGCAACTGCAATGAGGCTCTGATATTCAGAAAGCTAGAAGTACACAGATACCCATAATGGAAGAATGGATCATACAAATATTAGAGCTTGCAGAAATGGTGCAATGGCATGTTTGATTAAAGAAGGAACAACAATTAAGATATAGAAGACTGGAAACCATTTGCGGACTTTTTGCCGAAAATGGATTGAAATGAATTTATGCTTTTGGGATTCGTTAATTTAAAAAGGCTGTTTATGGGAAGAAAAGAACCATGATATGTAATTTGGGAGGGTGGAAATGTTTATAACTGCTGCAAAAGAAGATCAGAGGTTGCTTCTGTAGATGTCTTTCTTTTTCCTTTCCTTTTGTTGTCTTTCACTTTTTCTTTTATTTTTTAATATTGGTCTTTAATATTGGTCTACAGACATACTTTTTGTTTGTCTGTAGTTTTTTCAATCTTATGTAAAATGTTCTTTTAATAAAAATTACATATAACAAACCCAAAACCTCTAATGGAAACATCCATACATAAGTTTAAATGTTGTTTCGTTCTGACTGGCACACAATGAGTTGTGTTTTGCTCCCTCTTCAGAAAAGGCGGCGGCGGATCGATCGTAGTATGATTGGTGAGCCAACAAACTTCGTTCATACTGCTCATGTTGGTTCAGGAGATCTCTTTAGTGGAATGAATTCGGTAAGTGCATTTGCCAGGACTCCAACAGGGTTGGAGACCTTATTCTTGAACATTATATTTTGAAATATTTCTGTCCTGCTGTCATGCAGATATGTTGGATTTCAATCTCTGTAATTTTCAGATAGCTTTGGTCATACTTTTGGAAATCATCAGTATTAAATTCCTACATCCAGATGGTTTCATGATGGAAAAGGATGTTTTAGAGTACTATACCTTTTAGATTTATAACTATATCTAAAAGAAAAAAATGAAGTCATTTGCAAATGGGACAGGAATTATTAGTAAAGAAAAGGAGAGAGAAATTTTCAGCACATCATAGGAATCCATTTACTAAGGGATAATATGTTTCTAATCAAGAAATGCTTCTCCAGAGGCAACTAAAAATATATCCATGATGTACTTACATTTCAGTTTTTCCCTTTTGTTTACTCTATAGACATTGTTGAGTTCAGTGTAGCTTACCCCAAGGAATCCTGCATCTGTGTGTAGTGTATTAAAATTGTTGTAAAAAGATCTGATAATAAATATGTATGTCAAAATTAGGGTACTATATAGTGTAGCTTTCACATACAGCAGTCTTAAAAAGCTAAATTTCAATCATCATTTTAATGGCCTTATAAGCATGTTGAAAACAAGCCACAGCAAGTGAGTACCTTCTTTCATGTAATATTGCCACAAGGAGGAAATTGAAAAGTTACCTGCTTGCTTGCCTAAAAATGTTTCATTTTTTTGTTAGCGCTGTTTTTTAAAAGTATGATTAATGCCATTTGGGATTTATAAAGTAAAGTAAAAGGCATGTAGTTGGGAGCCAGCATATTAAGCAAAATATCATTACATTAATCATAGTTTAGTGTTTGGACAATGCACTAAACATTCTAGGATTCAAGAAATACTTACAATCTGTAGAATGCTATCTGTTTAATATAACAGAGAAATTGTTTTACAGCGCTATATTTGTTATTTATCCAGTTTCATTATCAGTGAATAAGTTATTCGTTTTGGTGATAAGTCACATCCAATAATAGTGAGTGTGTGTGTGTGTGTGTGTGTGTGTGTGTGTGTTTACATATAGTACACACATACTATAGTACACATATAGACATTTAAGGAAAACCCACATGATCTTGCATGTTTAGCCACCAGTCTGTCCCTTGACTCTGAATAAAACAATCATACAAATAGCATGCAAATGAGCTTTAGTCATAAAATAATCTACATGCATCTGTTTGGTGAAGTTGGAGAGAAAATGAAATAGTAAGAGATTCCTTTGGAACTAATTAAATTTTGGGACAGCAAAAACATTAAGTTGAATATTACATGAAAAAGAAAAGCATAGAATTCTACAGTATCCTTTTCTTACATGTTTGGCTGTATATATTAATGAGTAATATGGTCGACTTTGTCCAAATTTTGCACTGAGAATAGAATAGAATAATAACTTTATTTTCACTTTGAATATACACTACATTAAAATGAAATTTTGTTGCATTCTGCTCTCAAAGGGTCACCACCTCCAATATAGAATTCAAAAAAAAGAAAGAAAGAAAGAATTCAAGAAATATCACATTCTAGTTGACCATCATGGTTTTGTTTCTTTAGGTGAGCTCAATTCAAAACCAAATGCAGTCCAAAGGAGGCTATGGAGGGGGCATGAATGCAAATGTTCAAATGCAGCTCGTGGATACAAAGGCAGGATAACTGGGGCATCTTTCCAGTAAGTATTACACACTTTCCACATTGTAACATCTTTGTCTTCCGACTTCCAGAGACATAAATGTATGGGACAGCAAAGTCATTCATAATTGCTACCTCAAAACTATATGCAATGTACATTCTGGTGTATTTCATACTGATTTCACACATACATTTATCAAAAACCGGCCTTAGCTATTGGAGCCTCTTAATTATCATTTCACTAATTAATTATTTCTTCTTCAATATTTCTCTCATACCAAAATCACACGATCAGAATTAACAATGGAGGAAGTTGGAGGAGGGCATTGCAGTAAAACAGTAGCATGTTGCAGACCTCCATCACTTTCCACATCATAGTAGCAACCTTTCAGTTACTTGTTTTGGTGTTGGCTTGCAGTGAAGTGCTTAAGGCTGTGGATGGGAACAGTTGCTTCCTAGAAGTTCCTTGCTCCTCTTCCCATTCTACCTTATTCCCCAAGCCCCTCTCCAAATGCAGCAAAGAAGACTCAAAAATTCACTGCTGCTGTTTCCAGTAATGACATATTATTACCAGATTGATTTCTGCAGTCTCCAGAAAATCAGGAGATGACAGTGTAGTCCCTAAACACTCAATACAGGTAGTCCTTGACTTACAACAGTTCATTTAGTGACCATTCAGAGTTACAACATCACTGAAAAAAGTGATATGATCATTTTTCATATTTACGACCATTGCAGCAGCCCCATGATCATGTGATCAACATTCAAGACGCTTAGCGACTGACACCTATTTATGACGGTCACAGTATCACAGGGTCATGTGATCCTTTTTGCAGCCTTCTGACAAGCAAAGTCAGTGGGGAAGCCAGATTCACTTAACAACAATGCTACTAACTTAACAACTGCAGTGATTCACTTATCAACTGTGGCAAGATAGGTTGTAAAAGGGGGCACAACTCACTTAACAAATGTCTTACTTAACAACAGAAATTTTGGGCTCAATTGTGGTTGTAAGTCGAGGACTATCTGTACTGTCCACTGCTGTCCCTTACTTGGTAGCATAAAGAGAATGCAAAGGTATTTATACTTTCAGATAATGGAGCCACATGATCATGTACCATGACAATATGCTATACACTTTTTTCTTTATATTGGGGATGGAAGATGTGTGGTCTATAGATTACTCCTATCGAGTTCAATTAAGCCAAGATGCAGGTTTCTCCAACTCCCCTTTTCAGATAAGTCTGTTGCATTTCTTCTCTGTGAATAGAGAAAAGGACTGTTTCTACATGCATACAAAGAAGAAGGATCAGGTCCTCACCTTGTCTTCCTCAGTCTTTAATTGCTTCTGTATGTACATCCCTGTATGTACATTTCTGTTTGGAGAAAGGGACTACCATTTTCTGCACATATAAATATATATCCAGCAATATTTTTGAACTGTGTCTGTAACATAGAAAACCAAAGTGATATTGGACTTCAGCTCTGTCTGCTGCTAGTACTTGGCCACTGATGCTCTCTCTGAATGCTATCATAACCATTTTAGAAAACCATCTGCCCAATCCATCCTCAATATATATTGCTGAGTTACCTACTTAGAGTGGGGAAATAGAAATTGCAATATCATTGCAAAGTGGGATAGGTCAGAAATGGTACGAAGAGGGGAAAACACAAGCTATCCTTGATGAACTTGAGGACTGTTAGATAATGTCATTTGTGTAATGAACATGAGTTTGGGCAGACTCCAGGAGACAGTGGAGAACAGTGGAGCCTGTTGTGTTGTGGACGATGGAATCATGAAGGATTGGGCATGACTTAGTGACAAAACAGCTATTATAGTTCTGCCCTACTTAAAATTGTTTTATTCATTTCTTGTTCTATTTTTCACAGGTACCTGCAAGTTTCTATACTTTGTTCCTGTGTCCCTCTCCTTTATGCCTTGGTGACTGCTTCCTGTGCTCATGATAAGAGAAGTTGATGGCCCATCATCCACCCTTCATGATTATTATGCCATTCAGACATTCCTGTTCTGCTGTGAGGCTGACATTAATCAGACTGGTTGTGCCTTTAAAGTGGCAAGCTTACATTTCACTACCAAAACATCTGTGGACATTGTACTGGTTGACTTGTTTTTTTGAGCTTCTAAAACTTTTACTCTCAGTATTTTGAAACAATGTTTTGAGCAATCTAAATTCTGAACAAACAGGTTTGGTGTTGGGTTGACCCTCGTTTTGTACTTCCTCTGCAAACCCTTTATTATAGCATTCTCATCCTTTCATTGTTGTTATTACTTCTTTCTTTTAATTAGAAACAAGCAAGTTTCTGTTAATATCTTGAGTCTGTCATTGTTGATATAGATCTATTTTTTTTAAAGGTCTGGGACCTGCAAGCACAACAAACATTTCACACAGTCAGAAATCAGGAGTATATGAGTGTATGACCGCATGCTATGTGAATTTGCTTGGTATGGTGGCCTATTGGATGCCAAAAACATTATTTTTATTTTTAATGCTTGTTCTTGGAGATGGATGATGCTAAAGTTGGTGGAAAAAATGCAGTGGTACCAGATTATGCCAATCTCTCTAGGGAAAAATGGACTTGTAACTCTTAGCTGCTTTGGAAATATGTCTTAGATTTTTAATCCAATTCATCTTGAAATAATAAAGAGAGAGTCTGCATTCAGAAGACATTTTGTTGTAAATGTTCAATATATTTATTTTGGAAGAGCTGACCTCAAGATTGTAAACCAGTGTGGTAACGTACAAAGTAAATATTGTGGTGGCGCTTTTGTCTAGTTAAGAGGCATTGTTATGTTGGCTGCTTTTTCTTTCTTCTTTTCCAGTGCTTAATTTTAGGCTGTTCCAGCATTACCAGTAGCAGCATGATGAACTGCCTGCAATATTATAGCTGGAATTTAGTTGAACTCTCTAAATAGTTGGCAGTTTCCACATACTAAATATTTAGGGGCCCATGTAAGTTGCTAAGAGCAACATAGTAACCTAGCAGGAATGGATATCAGTGAAAACAACATACAGGGTGGCTTTTTGCTATATTGGTGAAGAAGCCTTTTGCTCAGGTTCCAAAGCATGTTTCTTTCACAAAGTGTGAAAACTGTGTTTTAATATTGCACTGTTTTTTTATGTTATTTTATATTTTGTTAAGTGGTCTATTTTTGTCTTCCCCATACTCATGCCTCCTTTGTCGTATTAAATTAAAACAGTTGATTGAGTATTAACAACATAATTTTAAGACACATTTAGAATCTTCCTCATGCATCATTTTTTAATATCTTAACTGGCAAATAGAGTAACTGAGCCTAATTGGAGAAATTCTTAATGTTACAAGTATTTGCTGCATATTTGGGGGAAAAAGGCCATGCAAGAACTTCATGCGGTTGCCCCCAAAACAAAAGAGAATATAGTAGCATTGCTTTGTAGTTAATGCTTATTGCTACTTTCTCCACTGCCATTTATAATTTAATAAGGGGAGACTAGAGAATGAGGGAATATCATACTTACAGCTTTATTTTTTTTAAAAAAATCCCTAACAGAAATCATTAACAATTGTTCAATGGAAATGGAAGAATATCTTTATCTAGAACCACTTTTGAGCCCATACCCACTGAGGAAGTAATCTATGTAAATATCTCTTAGTCAAAGCAGTAGTTGAACAAATATATGAAGACTGCTGCTGCACAAAAATCCATATTTATGGACTGGGTCCAGAAGACATTCCTGGTACAGGCAGCCAAATAATACGGATGAAACTATAATTTTGTTGGGGAAATTTTCATTTCAGGGAGTCCAGGGAGATGCCTTTTACTGTTGGGGCCAAATACACAGGCAGCTTAGTAGTTGCCAAGATCAGGATGTCAAATGCATACATTGTCAAAAGTGCTCTTCAAAGTACTCTATGATATCTTTCCATATGATAGCTGTCTAAATATATTGGACTGCACATTATCCCTGAAATCAGAAACATTATCTACCAGTCAAGGGAACTGTAGTTCAAAAGAGAGCATCAGGTTGGGGAAGACTGTCCTGGGGTTTCAGACTAAATTTCACTTTATTCTGAACTGATAGAAAAGAATTCTGGGAAGAATTTTTGATCAAAAAAAAAAGTTATCATCTTCAGCTCAGTCGCCAGAAAAGAGAGACATATTTTTATAACAAACATACATTTTTGTACATTATGTTCATTCTTAAATAATGTAAGTTCAATGTTGTCTTGTAGATATTAAAAGGAAAATATTGACCTTTGATTCAATAAATGTTTTCTTTCAGTTACTGGTTTTCCTATTTCTTTACCATAATCAGTACCTATTTGCTTGGACAAAGAGATCTGAAAAACAATGTCATTGTTTCAGATTTTCCTCAACTGATGGTATGGTAAAGGTGAGAGAACTGTATTGCGACATAGCTGTTCTCTTTTCACATATCCGCACACCGAACACATTTTAAGTGACCCTTAAAAGGAAGGAAGTTCAGTAAGTCAGTTTCTTGTACATAAATTCTCAGTCTGCCTTTTCTATATCTATCAAATCTGGTGAATATTTACAGGTAGTCCTCGACTTACAACAGTTTGCTTAGTGACCATACAACAACACTGAAAAAATTACTTACAACCATTTTTCACACATGCCATTGCAGCATTCCCATGGTCATATGATTTACATTCAGATGCTTGAAAACTGACTCACATTTATGACGATTGCAGTGTCCCGAGGTCATGTGATCATCTTTTACGATGATCTGATGAGCAAAGTCAATGGGGCAACCAGATTCACTTAACTGTGTGACTAATTTAACAACTGCAGTGATTCACTTAACAAATGTGGCAAGAAAGGTCGTAAAATGGGGTTAAGACTCACTTAACAAATTTCTCACTTAGCAATTTTGGGCTCAATTGTGTTCGTAAGTCGAGGACTACCTATATATGCTGCTTCTTTCTATAAAAATATCAAAAAGTTTGACAGAAATAGAAACAAAATTAACATATTAAAATTACCTCATTAAATAAGAGACGTTTGAGGACCAAGTTTCCTTAAAAGCCCTATATCTTTTCAGACTATGCAGGAAATATTAGAATTTGCCTATCACTGGAAGTGATCTTACAGTTAATATGTGTAGGATTTTTGTTTCCAAATAAAATAAGTTGACGATCTATTATAAACATGATAAAATACCATATTTTTCAAGATCACAATCTTTTAATTACTTGGAAATGACTTCAATCGATTTCCAGAAATTTGTAAAAAATAATAATAATAATAATAATACACTGTGCAAGCTTCTTACATTATATTCAGTTTCCTCTGCCTTTTCTCCAGCTGTGTAAAGACTTGCTTTAAATTGGAATGCAGACTTGTTGCTTAGCTATGATACAAATGAAATGTATAGTATTAGATATTATATTAAATACATTAAATTATTTGAATAGGTTGACTTCACAAAATCTATTCCTGCACAAATATTATTATTGTTATGTATTATTCACAAAAAATTCAATTCTTGAAATCCCCTAATAGTTTCTAATAAAACAAATGTTGGTTTTTAATCACTGTTAACTAAAGCAAACGATAATGAGGGAAAAAAGCAAAATCCTTCTATTCAAGGGTTTGCCTAATTGCTTTTTGGAAAGTGGTGGTTAGTTCACAAAGAGCTGATAATGCTGCTTTACCAGTTTTTAAAACAACTGAAAGCTGTCAATGTCAGCACAGGAGGATTTCAGTTCAATAGAATATCTTGTTTTCAATCATATCTTTAAACAGACTTGGATTATGTATGTTACACACACACACACACACACACACACACAAATCAGAAAACTGATTCTTAACCTTAGTATATCTAGGTGAACCTTCCCACCCCCACCCCAATTGTTAGATTACTTTTTTTTCAGAATCAGTGACTAATTTTTTTGGAAAATATTTAGAGTGTGTGATTCTTTAAAATAAAGAATTTGTTAGCATTATCACCAATCCTGGGAATAAAAACTATTACTTACAAAGATGAATGGAACCATGAAGGCAGCCTCTAAAATCTGCTATTTTTTACTCATTAGTCTTCCACATGCTATGAAAAGTCACAAACTGGATGTTCAATAAATAACTGTACTCAGATCTTATTAAGCTCAGTGATGAGATTCACAACTCACTATAAATCACAATGTGCTTAGTTTGGATTAGGTTGCATGTGAATCCAAACATGATGGCTGGTAGACTATTGCTGTGGTTTAGCATCTATGGCTTATTCCTCAACCATCCTTAAAATGTGACTTTGTGGGGTGTGTGTGTAAAATCATAATGTGAAAATGGAAATTTCAGTAAAAAATCCAGCCCCTGGATGTGGTCCTTGTGTTTCACTTCACATGTTCAGGAAAAAAAAACAATTGCAATAAAGACACATCTATACATTCAGTCTAGCTTAGACATACAAACGTTTTCCCAAGATCTTGGACTTTGGAAACAAAAGCCTCCAATTACACCCTGCTAGACTGATGCCAGCATGGGACTTCTCACTGTGTTGGTAACTTGAAGTACTGAGTTTTAAGTATGCTTCAAAAGAGCTAATCAAGTAACTGATCAAGTTTAATTTTACCATTGGTTTTGTAGAGTACACATATTATATACCTATACTCAGAATTTAAAACGCTCTATAGTAGGAAGTACTTTTAAGGTCAATGAATAAAAGCTGCAACCTTAGAATGGGGGAAATATACTGTACAAGCTAAGAAAAATGCATAATATCACAGTGGCTTCTATGATAGAGAAATGAAAATTATATTGCAAGGACTTATGAATTAGAAATAACATACACCAGTACTTATAATTAGAGCAGATGTTCCAAAAGATACCTTATCACAAAACATAACACAGAAATATTACTACCATATATTTGGCAGTCTCTTTTTAAAGATGTACTGATTAGGAGAATTTTATATGTGCTGATAACAGTTGTTTAGTGAAAAACAGAAAATTGTGCTGTTTCATTCCAGTGTAACATTAGGAGCTCCTCTGCTTGAGTTCATAGCAAACAAAGGCTTATTTCTGGCCTACTTTTCATGAATTTTGACCTACTTGTGACAACTCCTATAAAGTACCGCCAGAGAGACAACATAGTTTACTTGTAGTCCAGAGATGCCTTGGGCAATTCTTTTGGGACATATTTATAACCTCTTAGAAAGTGAGGATAATGCTTTGGTCCCTGAGGATCTAAGTCAGTATTCTCCATCTTCCTATAAAAGCTACATAAATGGGGGCTAATAAGTCATAGTTGCATTTACATCCCACCTTTTCTATGAGAACGGATATTAACACCCACTCACTCACTTGCTCACACCATTTATTCTCTCTCTTTCCATCCACCTCAGAGAAACTTGTATAGCAAAATGAGTTGAGGGTGTTTGATCGATGGGAGGAACAAAGGGGGCTGGCATTGAGGGAGAGCAACGGGCAGAGGCAGAGAACCGGACTGCAGAGAAAGGGAATCACCAGCAGAGGAGCCTGGAAAGTAAAAAAAGGGGAAAGCAGGGATGGGGAAAAGGAAACGGTTAGCGACAGAAAGGAGCCGGGGAAGAGCCAAAGAATGGCGGGAAGGCGTGCAGACAGAAAAAGAGGAAAGGTGGCGGGGGGGAGGGAATTGTTGAAGGCGTGCAAGGCTGCTCTGGCCTCTCTGGGAATGAATGAATAAATGAATGAGCAATCCTGGCCAGATCATTTTATTTTTTTAATTCCCAGATGGACGTGGCATTCAGAAGCTGCTGCAATCAGGTGTCTCTGGGAAATAGCCAAGCTTCAAGTTGCTTTTGAATATGCAGTGATAATTAAGGAATCACTCATCCAAATTAATTAAGAGGAATATGCACGTGTTCCGGAAGCTTTGCCTAAGGATAGAACAGAAGTGCCGTTATCTGGCCCGGGGCAAGGATACCTCTGGTAGGGCACTTAAGGAATTGAATTGAGATGCTCTCAGCGCTAAAAAATCACAGGCCAACTATCTAAGCTTGTCCTGAAATTATTTAAGTAAGGAGTTCTTTTTTTAAAAAGAAAGATTTTTACTCTGCTTTTTTTTCATATATTATTCAAAGCAGCAACTATATCAATAAATTATCCTGCTATTTTCTCCATCCCAACAATCCTGTGAGATGAATTGGACTGAAAGAGTCCAATGGGCCAAAGTCCCACCCAGCTGGATTTTCATGCAGTGATGATAAACATCAGCAGGAGAATTTGAAGTGATACGAGGTAGAAATCAGCATTCCAACATGAGTCGCTCATCAATATTTTTAACAAAAGTGTATTTACCTGGACTTGTTTATAAAGATTTACAGGTTTCAAATACTGAGTGAGCAACTTGCAGTAAAGTTGTGAGGAGCTCATGACATTTTTAACTCTGAGCCAATAACGGTGCTTGGGAGAGGCAATGCTCCCAGTAGAACAATAAATTTCTAGGGCAGTGTTTCTCAACCTTGGCAACTTGAAGATGTCCGGACTTCAACTCCCAGAATTCCCCAGCCAGCAAGTTGCCAAGGTTCAGAAACACTGTTCTAGGGAGATGAGGAAGAAAATACATATATATATATAACCAGGATTGACAGGAGCCACAATAAAGCACAGGCTTTATGAAAGCATTGATTCTTTACTGCGAATCTGCATTTCACAGCTG